TTTTTTTTTTTTTGATGTAAAAACTGAAAACTAAAGATACTTAATTTCTCCACAATCATTTAACCGTTGCAGCTTATATGGCCTTGGATGCTTCTTCATAGGTAAATTAAGCTTTTCAACCAAAACAGTGCTAGCTACATTAGTACAATTGCCACCATCAATAATCACACTACATACCTTATTTTTGATATGGCACCTCGTGTGAAATATGTTGTCGCGTTGTACTTCGTCATCTTCTTTGGCTTGCACATTCAAAGCACGCCTGGTGACAAGCAGTTCTCCATCAACAACATATTCCATGCCATCATTAACATCTTCCAATGGTGGCATAGAGTCATCATCAGATTCACCCTCTGTTTCAATTTCTCCATCCTCTTTCAAGATCATCGTGTACTTATTAGGGCATTGCGATGCAATATGCCCTTTTCCCAAGCATTGAAAACACTTGATGTCTCGGTTTTTGCCTTGCGTATTATCTGTTTTACTCTTCTCATTGCTGCCAACTTCTTTTGACTTAGATACTGCAGTTTTAGGCTTAAAAACAAAATTTTCTTCCTTTTTGCTCCAATTCAGTTTCCAAGAAGATGAGGAACCTGAATTTTGCCCAGTTTTGGTGGTGGCTCCTTTACACTTGAGTTGCTGTTCTACTTTCAACGCCATATGCACCATATCTTTTAATTCCACATAATGCTGCAGCTCTACCACATTAGCTATATCACGATTTAAGCCATGCAGAAACCGTGCCATAGTTGCTTCTCTGTCCTCTTCCACATTCGCCCTAACCATTGCGATTTCCATCTCTTTGTGATAATCCTCAACGCTTTTGGACCCTTGAGTTAGGCCCTGCAATCGTTGATAGAGATCACAGTAGCAGTGACTAGGAACAAATCGTTTTCTCATCACAGCTTTCATCTCTTCCCAAGTGTCAACAGGATGCTCTCGATTTCTACATCGACTAAGCACAAGCTGATCCCACCACACCACAGCGTAATCAGTAAATTCCACCGTTGCTAGTTTCGCCTTTTTCTCCTCAGAATAGTTATGGCAATCAAACACCAATTCCACCTTCTTTTCCCACTCCAAATACACATCTGGATCATTTTTCCCTTGAAACGGAGGAATCTTCATCTTGATGCTGCCTAAGTCATGATCTTGCCGATCTCCCCACCTTGCCAGATTTTGGTCTCTTTTGTTAAAATTTATGTCTTTGACCCCCTCTACTTCTCATAAATCTGTCCATGCTGAAATTTTAGTTCTAGGCATCATCGTTGAATGCGTCTTCATCATTGTCATCAAGATCGTGATTATGCAAATTTGGACTTCCATTCT